GTACAGGTTGGATAAATGAACTGTAAAGTAGATAGAAAACTGGCTAAATCATCAGGCTCAGAGGCTAGCAGTCAATGGCTTGATGTCTAGTTAGCAGCCGGTATCAAGTGGAGTGCCCCAGGGGTCAGCCCTGAGGCCAATTTTGTTCAATATCTTCATCAATGACCTGGAAGATGGAATAGAGTGCACCCTCAGCAAGTCTGCAGATAACACCAAGCTGGGAGGAGTAGTAGATATGCTGGAGGATAGGGCTAGGATTCAGAGATCTAGAAAAATTGAAGGACTGGACCAAAAGAAATCTCAGGACATTCAATAAGAACAAGTGCAAAGTCCTGCAGTTAGGACAAAACAATCCCATGCACCAGTAAAGGCTGAGGACTGACTGGCTGAGCAGCAGCTCTGCAGAAAAGCACTGGGGGGTTACAATGGACAGTAAGCTGAATATGAACCAAGTGTGCCCTCATTGCCAAGAAGGCTAACGGCATACTGGGCTGCATTAGTAGAAGCGTTGCCAGCAGATCGACGGAAGCGATTCTTCCATTCTATTCAGCACTAGAGAGGCCACATCTGGAGTACTGTGCCTAGTTTTGGGTCCCCCACTACAGAAAGGGTGTGGACAAATTGGGTAGAGTCCAGCGGAGGGCAAAAAAATTGGTTACGGGGTTGGGGCACATGACTTCTGAGGAAAGGCTGAGGGAGCTGGGCTTATTTAGTCTGGACAAGAGAAGATTGAGGCTGGATTTAATAGCAGCCTTCAACTACCTGAAAGGCGGGTTCCAAAGAGAATGGAGCTAGACTGTTCTAGGTGTCAGAGATGACAGAGCAAAGAGCAGTGGTCTTAAGTTGCAGCAAGGGAAGTTTAGTTTAGATATTAGGAAAAACTTTCTCACTAGAAGGGTAGTAAACCTCTCTGGAACAGGTTAGCCAGAAAGGTTGTGAAGTCTTCATTCTTGGCAGTTTTTAAAACCCAGCTAGACAAAGCTTTGGCTGGGATGATCTAGTTGGGGGTGGTCTTGGTTTGAGCAAGGGGTTCGACTAGATGACTGCCTGATGTCCCTTCCAACCTTAATTTTCTATGATTTTAATACTATGTCTACGAAAATGAATTAAATCCATGGTTTATGACAGTTTCCAAAAAGTCCTAGTAAGTTTCCCCTTTTTCTCTCTTTTTATTCTATCAACAATAGACCTAGGGTCAGTAAGGACCTAGTCAGGGAACTTCTGGAGGGACTGGACATATTTAAATCAGCTGGTCCTGACCATCTCCACCACAGAGTGCTGAGGGAATTAGCAGAGGTCATTGCAGGACCCCTGGCAGGGCTTTACAAGCACTCATGGTACTCTGGCGTGGTGCCAGAAGACTGGAAAAGGGCCAATGCGGTTCCCATTTTCAAAAACGGGAGGAAGGAGGACCCAGGAAACTATAAGCCAGTCAGTCTTACCTCAATCCTGGGTAAGCTTTTTGAGAGAATTATCCTGGTGCATGTCTGCGAGGGGCCAGCAGGGGAGATTATGCTTAGGGGCAACCAACATGGGTTCATTAGAGTCAAGTCCTGTCAAACCAACCTGGTGGCCTTCTATGACTGTGAGGAGTGACCTAGAAACTACTATGCAAAGCCCAAGCAAAAGTGAATGTTATATGACGAATGCCCATCTGCAATGATAAGGAGGAGACAGTCTTAGATAAAGGAGGCTTGAAAACAAAAGCAGAATCAGATGACTGGGTCAAAGAGCTCATTAAAATACTAAAA